ACCCTCAGAATGCTCTCCACGAATGGTGACAGAAATGAATGAGGCCCAGGCTGGGTTTCATGGAGACCCCTGTGCTTAGAGACCCTCCAGCCCTGACCCACTTCAGGCTGCCGCCACCTGTAACTGGGTCAGGCCCCAGTGACCCTAGGGTGGGGCAGGAATTTAAATTTAAACTCTGGTCTTTATCCTGGCTCTAAGGTGGCCTAGAGGTCACTCTCCAGGTCTGAGCCTCAGTTTCCTTGGCTGTAGAATCAGGGCCAGGTTGCTGCCTGTACGCCTGGGGCTCTGGTAGATGCATGTCCTCTCTGTGACTTGAATGGGGACGGTGCCTGGAGGGGGTGGGTGCTGTTGGTCTATGGGTTTTGGCAACAGTGCTTCAGGGGGATACCCTGAGATCCATGGACTCAAATAACAAGTGTCCTTCCAACATTAGTTAAAGGAGAGCTGAACCACCAGTTTTCAGAGGAACGTGATACCTGTGTGGTCAGGGGCAATCAGAGGAGGCTTCTAGGGAGCAGTGAGACTGAGGCTAGTCCCACAGCACGGGCAGGATGTAACTCGTGGAGCACAGAGAGGGCAACCTAAGCTAAGAACACAGGCAGCTAAGCTTAGCTGAGCTAAACTAAGGCTGGTTGTGGGACTCACTTCAAGAGAAGGGGGAGCTCGGGGGCAAGGAGACCCAAGTGGTTCAGGAAGAAAGAGTAGGGAGGTGGTGGGGGGAGCAGGGTGGCAGGCCCACGCTCTGTCCTGTGGGGGCTGGGGAGACCTCGTCTGAGAAGGACGGTGGCCGTGGGTACCTGTCTCCCTCCAGCTCACACACGTATTGCACGGCTGGGGACCAGTCATAGGCCCCCGGCTCCTTCTTCAGCCACTTCTCCAGCTCCCGGAGGTTCTGCTCCGTGTAGTCCGAGACGATGATCTCCCGGAAGGCCTCACAGGCCGAGAGCAGCTGGTAGATGGTGGGGCCCGAGCCAATGTCGATCAGGATGTCGCCTCCCACTCCTCCTGCAGGAGACAGCATGTGCGGGTCTGTGGTGGGGACACCCTCCTCCGGGCCCAGCTTTGGTGGCTGGACACGCCAGGCCCTGCCCTTCCCCAGGACTTGCCGGCTGGGGAGGGTGACACACAGGAGACCGACCCTGCCATTGAGTGGCACCCAGATGTGTGGGGACACCAGAGCCCATGCCTGGGGCTCAGGTGGGTAACAGCTGGAGGGCGGGCCACAGCCTGGCTCACATCAAGTCCCCCTTGCTGCCCCCAGAGGCCTGATAGGACAAGTTCTGCACTTCTGGGCAGGTTTCAGATTGACTTCCCACGTGGAACTGGTTTGTTTCCAACAGTGCTCTGACTCTGGGTTTAAAACAGTGTTGAGAATCACCCCAACCACCTGCCTCCCTCCCTACCTCCTTGCTGCCAAGGGCAGAGCTTGTGATAAAGAGTAAGACCTGAGCCAGTGGTTCCACTTTGGCTCAGCCAATCGGGGAAGGCGAGGGAGTCCGATGAAGACAGGGAAGGCTCTTTGCTTCAGAGGAGCACCAAGTGCTTACTGTCC